ACTCGGTTGGGTTAAATTCAAATAAATTGAAAATTTTTATGTATTGAGTTGTTTATGGATTTATTGGATTAAATACTCTATTTTATTATTAATTTTAAATATATACATTTTTACGTAAAATACAATTATATATATATATATTTAATAATTTTGATTATTTATTCGTTCCTCTCTTGAAAATAATTTTTAACTAATATTTTATTTTTATTATAAATAAAATTTTAAATCAACTCAATAGGAAAATAATAAAAAAAATTAAAATAGTTCTAAAGATGTCATAACTCGATCCAATTCGAGCAACGACACCATGAGAAGCAACATAAATAGTTCTAAAAAATGTCATAATTCGATTCGATTCGAGCAACGAACACCATCAGAAGCAACATAAATTGGATTCAGTGAGATGTGCCTATTGTAAATCTCGTGAAGCTGGATATTTTGGAACGATTCAAACCCGATCTTGTTGAAATCAGGGTTTAGAGATTCCCTGCCCGGATTGGGATGGGCTCAACATAAATAGTTCTAAAAAATGTCATAACCCGATTCGATTCGAGCAACGAGCACCATCAGAAGCAACATAAATTGGATTCAGTGAGATGTGCCTATTGTAAATCTCGTGAAGCTGGATATTTTGGAACGATTCAAACCCGATCTTGTTGAAATCAGGGTTTAGAGATTCCCTGCCCGGATTGGGATGGGCTCAACATAAATAGTTCTAAAAAAATGTCATAACCCGACCCAATTCGAGCAACGAGCACCATTAGAAGCAACATAAATTGGATTAAGTGAGATGTGCCTCTTGTAAGTCTTGTGAAGCCGGATATTTTGGAACGATCCAAACCCGATTTGGATGAAATCAGGGTTTAGAGATTCCCCACCCTGATTGGAATGCGCTCAACATAAATAGTTCTAAAAAATGTCATAATCCGACCCAATTCAAGCAACGAGCACCATTAGAAGCAACATAAATTGGATTCAGTGAGATGTGCCTGTTGTAAGTCTCGTGAAGCCGGATATTTTGGAACGATCCAAACCCGATTTTGATGAAATCAGGGTTTAGAGATTCCCTGCCTTCGATTGGAATGGGGCAGCCCTAGAGTTGCAGAACAATGGCATAACCACTTCCGATCTCAAGTACGTCTCTCTCTCCCTCTCTCTGCGATTTAAATTATCGGTACTCTCTTCATTATCATCTGTTAATTTTCTCTCCATCGATTTCTTTTTCGGTTCAATTTCGCTTTTCTTCATCTTCCATTGACACTGTTTCTGTAGACCTAGAAATCTAGCAGAAAGAGTCACCTTCTTCTTCTTCTTCGATTCTAACTTGGTGTTGGTTCTCCATTTCAATTTGTAAGTTCTTGTTCTTCAGCATTTGTGTTCCAGGATCTGAGTGAGAAGTAGATTATGTCTGTGAGAGGGAGGAAAGTCTCCACCCGAGGGGAAGCAGTGGCAGCAAGTTATGCTTTTGGGCCCCTCGAAGATGATGTTATTATAAAACACAGGCTTCTCACCCGTACAACGACCACAAGGGGGGAACCTCCATTGAAGAAGCTCCAGAAGAAGTTCACTTCCTTTGTTCTTGAGATTGAAAAGGATGGGAGTAATCATGATGACTGTGAGAAGCTTTCCAGAGCTTTCTTACAAGAGCTATCCACATTTGAAATTCCTTTGCTGAAGAGTAAAGCAGTTGTGGATGCAAATATTAGGGAAAAGGAGAGCTTCCATGAGTTTAAGGATGAGATAAACAGACAAATTTTGTTAGCTCAGGATGATATTGAAGATCTTAAGAAGCAGCTTGAAGAAAGCAAAATTGAGAGGCAACACAAGGAGGAGTGTGAGGCAATTAGGAAACTTGTAGCAGCACAGCCACCCAGGTCTGTGACACAAAAGACTATTGTGGAGTTAGAGAAAGAGATTGCGGCACTTGATGCGGAGAACACAGCTAGTTCAAGGATGCTGGAGCTTCGCAAGAAACAATTTGCTCTTTTGTTGCATGTGGTATGTTTCCTTCAGCAATGTTTTCTTAGTTATATTCTTTAATTGTACTCCTAAAATGAAAATTTTGGTCTCTTTGTTTGATGATTCATTAGTTTAGACCTTGGATTCTCCCCCACCGCCATTTTTTCACTTTTGAATTGTTCAGGGATTCTTAGACTGATTGTTGCACGAAGAAGATTGAGATGTATATGGTATCAGTGCTTGAACCCCCAATCTTTGGCTCATTTAAGGAAAAATGAGAATGATTCTATTAGAGTGTTGCTAGTTTACTCTAGGTGCTGAGATGGTAGGAAAATTTGATTTGATAAAGAAGTAACTTTTAGTATTCCGTCTTTTGGAGAGGAATCCCTTCATGAATGAAGAACAAACTCTTTAGATAAACATAGTGAAAGCCTTGCTTTGGAATCTATGGTTGTAGAGAAATCACAGGACTTTCAATGAGACCAAATCTACCTATGAAACGTTCTTAAACAGCGTGCTTATGGCTATTGGGTTTGTCTAGCAGACTCACAGTTTAAATCTACCATTTTGCCAAGCCGTTCCGGGTATAAATATTTTAGGCCTTCAATCTTTACACTGATTTTGCGAATGACACGATCACTCTTTTAGAAACGAGCTTCATGGGTCATCCTTTCAGCAAGGAAAAGGAGGTCTTGTGCGTCTTTATCGACAAAAGCTTCCTATACCATAAAATCAAAAACATTCGATTTCACTTGGTGTAAATTCTCCCCATATATTTGGGACTACAACCTTACTTCTCTGACATATTGGCATAGTTTTTTGTAAATCCTTTTGGCATTTTCCCCCTCTTTGTAAGTTCACCTCATCCAATGAAATGAAGGTATTTGTTTCTCATAAAATAAGGTACAACATTTTTTTTGTAGCAATGTACAACTTCATGCTTCTGGTGATGTCATACGAATATAGAATGCTTTTGTAACAATCCTATCTCAATGCTTCTGGTGATGGCAATACAACCTGTTTCTTATAAAAAGAAAAAAAAGGAGGCTTTATCTTGATTTGCATTAGAATCAAATCTTCAACGAGGCACTGCTTTCTCCTAGCCACTATCCCATGCATGCTTTAGTTTCCAACTGAGGGTTTTCATGAAGCATATGTCTACCACGAGGTTCTGAGAAAGATGAAATACCTTTAAATGCATCTATTCAAGAGTTATAGCTGCAGCCACTTTGTAAGAGATCTGACGGTCCACTATTAGCCATTCTAGAATCTATTACATTGTTCCCTCGTAGGGTTAAAACGTTCTGTCACTGCCATTTGATCCAAGGGTTTCACATTCAACTAGAGACTGCCTAGAAAATACCAAGTAGAAAGCAAAATTCACCCTGCTTCTCCTGAATTTAAGGAAAAGAGTTGTTTATCAATAATTTGTTTTGGGGGAATAGAGAAAGTTGTGGTATAGTGCTTGGTTGGTAGTTTCCAGGGAAATGTCTGTATGTGTTTTTAACTTCCTTATTGGAAATGAGTTGAACCAATACATACGTGGGAGGAGAACGAAACATTTTTTATAAGGGTGTAAAAACCTCTCCCTAGCAAACACGTTTTAAAAACCTTGAAGGGAAGTCTAAAAAGGAAAGCTCAAAGAGAACAATATCTGCTAGCGGTGGCCTTGGGCTGTTTAATCTGAATTAACATTTTGTATATATACTGTGTGTGTGTTTTTTTCATTAATATTCTTTTAGAGGAAGAAGGAGCTTATGATTGGGGCCAAGGGACATAGCGAGGCCTTTCAAATCTCTAGAAATTGTAGTCACAACTAAAAAATCTCTGTTTGTTTGAAGATTGTCCTCTGCTGCAACATTTTTCAAGCAAAAATTCTCTGAAATCCTATATGAGCAGTAGTATTGTGTCTAAATAATTGTTGTCTGGCTGTGGTTGTGTACAAACTTTCTACCTAAAACTTGAAATCCTCAACTGATATTGGTGCAGGTGGATGAGTTGCAAAACACCATAGAGGATGAACAGAAGAGTTTAATGGAGGAAATGAGAATCACAGCTGAGGAGAATAAGATTGGTGTGGACGATGCTAGTGGAGGCCTGGAAGCCATGGCTGTGGACTGAGACAGCAACCCTCTGGGATGTTCTGGTGTAAAACTTGTAAGCATATTTTTCTTTAAAAAAAACTCAATATCTAAGCTGTTATTTATCTAGAAATCTTGCTCAAAGTCAAGAAATCAAAATGAAATAGTTGGATCTTCTGGATGTTCTCCTGAATCAAGTAAATCTTGTTCTTATTCTTAGGTCTTATAGGTGAAACGACATGCCATGGTAAAGGAATAAACCCATTTCCTATGGATGTTTAGGAGTCATGTTTCTTTGTACCGGAAATGTGAGTGAAACTTTTGGTTCGATGAAATTGTTATCACCGACTATTTCATATCATCAAAATTGATTTCGAGCCATTAAAGACATGTTTGAGAGTAATTTTGAACCTAACAATATTATATTAACTATCCTAAACTTACTCTCAAACATGTCTTACATGATTATGATGCGTGCTCGATGGCCATGTATAACAAAAGATGCATCAAATGTGGCTATTTATAACAAAAGATGCATCATTTTCATTTCACATGGTGAGTATAACTACATTATCAAAAGAATTACTATTCAAGAAATGAAAGATGAGATGATAAAGTATTACTCTCTTATTGAAAGAACTACCCTTTATAGTAAAGAAAGAAAAAAGATATGGAAAGTTTATATTATCCCGTTTAGTTCCTGAATTTTAAGTTTGTCCGTTTAGTTCTTAGCTTTATAAAGTGTTTGGTATCTTTAAACTTTTAATTAATTATGTACGAGAAGTCCTTGAATTTAAAAAAGTTTCTAACGAGTCTTTAATCTTTCGTTTTTGTGTTTATTAAGTCATTGAGATTTTTCCCACTATGAGATGATTGTAATTGTCAATGCTAATTCTGAAGAAGAGAAAATTAAAAACAAAATAGTTATCGAACATGACCTGAATTTTCTGCAAGTGCTTATCGAGAATTTTCAAGTTATTCCAAACACACTAAACATCAACGAATTATACATCTTTAAGCTCGTCGGCGCGTTGAAGACTATAAAAGATTATACGCTTACAAATGAAAAGATTATTTGATCAATCGACGAAAAGAAACTTGTGCTTCATCACAAGTTTGGAATCCTCCATTATTGAAAATTAAACACACAGCAAAGTCACACCCATGATATTATGGATAGGCAACATGAATGGTATCATGCATCCTTGGGCTGTTGGGCGTTGAGGAAATAGCTCTTGGCAGCTTGAGCTATGGCTATCAAAGGTTCAACACTGGCTAATGAAATATTTGCAGCAGCTTCTTCCTTCAACTCATATTCCACCGATGATTTCACAATGCTACTCTCTTCATCCTTCTCAATTATCTCAAAACAAAACCTGTAAACAGTGAATCCAAGATCCAGGTACCCTCCTTCCACCATCTCCGCTATTTTTATACGCTGTTCGTTATCTATTTTCACGAACTTCTCTTTGTATCTCATACCCCCTAAATCTGTACGGTATCATAATTTCTTATTGTTAGACTAAATTACACATTTCCACTCTAAACTATGGCATTTCTTTCGACAAAGAAATTAGACCAAGAGGACGATTAAGAAGAAGTTGCGATAAAAAAAAACTCAAATATAATCTAATTCAAACCAGGTCAAAGTATAATTTTTCGAAAATAATTCTTCAAAAATAAAATCTTGGATCTCTTCGAAATTGATGTAATGCAAGACAATTAAATAACTTTATCTAAACTAACGTAACATATGAATCAAAATTAATTTGGGTCAGTTAAGAATATACTATAAATAATTTTGAACACGACAGAAGTAATTTTAACTGATTCAAAAACTATAACGACAAAAACTTATCAGAGTCGATACTGAAAAGATCGAGTAGTAAACGAGTAATGTGACTTACCGGGAGCAAAAGTGACGTGGACAAGAGTTCCTTGGCCGCCATCGCCTTCAAGGAGCTCGACGTTCTTGATGATATTGGGGAGGTGAAGTTGGAGGAAATCAGCAAAGTGAATGGTGCCATAAAGCGCCCAAACTTTGGCCGCCGGCGCCGGAATCTCAGTCTCGTCACTGATTTTGGTCACCATTTTTGTTCTTCCTGGTTGTTCTTGGAGAGCTGCAGGTCTTGTTGTTTAAAGATGGAGACTTCCACCACAGATTTTGATTGGTCCTCCCAATTTTCATCAATATCTTCTCACTTCTCATATTTAAATAATAACGAGGAAAATGAACTCATTTTTTTATACTTCGTTTCAATTAATTTAGGTTAAAATTAATGCAAAAAAAAAAAAAAAAAAAAAAAAAAAAAAAAACATAAAACCTTATTTAAAAAATTAAAAAATATCCTTACCATTAATACTATAATTTATATATATATATATATATATATTTTTTTTTTTCTAAAAATTTAAGGATATTAATGTTGGTTTTGAAAGCATACTGACGTCCTTTTTTTCTCTCTATAATAAATGACGGTTAGTATGTTTTCAAAATTAACATTAACATCCTTAAATTTTTAGAAATACATATATACCTCTGTATATATATATAAATAACTAGAAAGACTATTTTTGAACTTTTTTTTAAAAAAAAAAAAAAAAAAAAATATTTTTGAAGTTTTTAAAAAATGTTAAGAATGAAACTTTTGAAATCATGTGGTATTAATTTTTCGAAACCGTTAAAAGTTCAAAGATATTTCTGAACAAATTATTAACCAATTTTATCCCGAACTCATTAAAAGTTCAAAAGTATTAACGATTCCGGTCTAGAATCCTTCAAAACAAAGTATTAACCGTTTCCTTCGAAATTAACGGTAATGATGTGTTTTTTTTTTTAATATATTTTTAAATTTAAGGATATTTTTAATTCTTTTAAAAAAAAAAAGTTTGAAGAGTAATATTGTTGAAAAAATAGGATTGACAAAGGAGATATGTAAGTGCAAGAACATGCATACATGTGCAATAAGTATTGTCCAAGTCATGTTGCCAGCTGTTGACACCTTTGACTAAATTAAAAAAAAAAAAAAAAATCTATTATAAGGGACAATTTGTATTGAAACTATAAATAATTACTTAAAAAATCCTCTTCCACAAAAATACAAAAACTTATCAAAACCTTCCAAATTTCGTTTTTATTTTTAATTTTTAATTTTTTTTAATATCAAAATAACATGTTTTTGTTTTCACTTAAATTTACTCTATTTGGTATAAATTTACTAAAAACCCCTTGTAATTACAATTATCGTGTTACATTTAAATGACAATACATTAAGGAATTGAGACCACGTCCGATTGAACCATTTTGAAAATAAGATGATTAAGAAAAGTTTAAGAGAATTGAAAGTAACTGTCTGTACCAATGACATAAGGGAAATAAATTTTCAAACCCCGTTCAAAATCGTGAGATTTTAACCAATAATTGACTCTTAACTGATCAAGACTCTCACGCTGATATGAAATTGTTCATTTTGAATATGAGCTCCAGTGACTTTGGTTTGGGCTTCCCCAAAAGACCTCTGATATAGAAATCAACCCAAGAGAAAGTATGAAACGGATTAGTTTGATGATCAAGATCAAGAGTAAAGAAAACTCGTGATTCGAATCACTCCACAAGAGGTTTGATTAATACTACTTGAATCACTCTAGCATGCAAGTTCTAAACACAAGAATTTATAAAGAATGTTTAGCTCTCAACAAAGCTAAAATATAAATTCTATTTTTAATTCTAAAATCTGATGTCTAATCAAACAAAAGAAGACTTTATATAGCATTTACAACCTTAACCTATGATACATAACTTTCAAATTAAATGGGCCAGTAACCTCCATATTAAAATGACTATTATTGGTGAAATATGGTAACCTGGGTTAACCTTAATTCCTATATTTAAAACTAGCTTAACTATGAAAAATAAATAGTCCAACTATAATGAAATAGTGCAATGAATGAAATGTACTTATTAGTCATTCTTGGACTAGTTTCATAAATTCAGCGGAGTTCATTAAATACAATTAAAGTGCATTTAATTCATATGTTTCTTGAAGTTCAACTTTGCACAATATATAAGTGAAGTTTTCACGTCTTCTAGAATTTCCTTTGATAAGCTCGCTATAGCTTGAATATAACTATATAAGGTTTGTTGTAGTTTCTTGGCTTTCGTCTTGTAATTGAACCTTGAGGTATGGAAATTCCTTGGTCGTGGTTCATATCAACCTCGTAATAAAAGAGGTAGTATTTCTTAATTATAAATTCATGATTATTTTTTAAATTAGTAGATGTGAGACTTTTATCAAACAAACTCTCCCTTGAAACCTTCGTCTCATGCCCGTCGTTCATACAACCATCTCAAACGCTCCATACACGAATCGAGAGGTGAAACGAAAATTCGAGAGACAAGGGAGAGGAAGAAATGTTGTATTTTGGGAGAGGTTGTTGGGGATTTGGGAACGTAGGAGTGCCGTGGAATTGTTGTTACAAACCACCAGAGGATGAACCGCGGCGGAAGTGTGAGGAAATAGTGTCAGATCATCGGAGTTTCGTCGGAAAAGAAGAGGGAAAACTCGTGGGTTTCAGTCTGCGTTTTCGGGCGAGGAAGGCAAACCATCGGGCCAGGATTTGGGTCAGCCCATTAATGGATTCCTAAAAACCTTTCGGCCCATTTACATAGTACGGCCCAATAAGCCCAGACTTGTAATCCAACATCCACGCGACCCACATACCCAGCTACACTAACCCAACTCGCGTCGGCCCAGTTTATGACCTGATAACCGTTCCAGCCGCGGCTCAGCTTTTGGGCGTGTGTGACAGCTCAATCGGCTCGACTCATGACTCCGTTGTCTCGGCTTGGTGACTCGCTCCGGCTCGACTTGACAGCTTGACTTGACGGCTCGGCTCCTCGACTTAAACGGTTCGATATTCAAATTATTTATAGTTTTCTAGGTTTTCGACCTTTTTGATTCCATTTTTGACATTTGAGATCGGTAAGACTCTTATTTACTCAAATTGATGACTTATGTCGGAAAGAATTGTCATGTTTAACTAAGTTATTCCCTATATGTGACTTATGTTAGAAGCATAGTTAAAAACAACTATGGAGTAATTAGTAATTTAGCTAGTGGATCAGGGAATACATCTTTTGACGCCTTCTTTAGCTAGCTTAAATTATTTGGAGTCAAATTTAAATTATTTTATGTAAAATTAAGTGAGTGAATTTCCACACTAGAGTTCTAATTTATGATTTGTGGGGCTTAATAGGTAGAATTAAATTTTAGAGAGTAGCATTAAGCTAGTATCAAAGGATCGTAATAGCTTCAACTTATGCTAACCAAGTGACTCCACTATCAGTTTGGTTGGATGAATTGTATTATATATGATGATGAATGCTCAATGGCCCTTGAACGTGGCATATGTATGATTGATATGTTATGCTATACTAAATTGTGTTATGTTATGCTATGTTAAGTTATGCCATGTTATTCATGATATGCTATGGTACGCTATGTTATGTTATATTATGCTATGATAAACTATGCCATATAATAAAGATATGGTATTTTGTCATCGTGCCATGTATAATTTTTTTTATGAAATTGTTAATCTATGATGTAAAAACCTCCTTAGACCATGCCATAAAAACTATCTATGTATTACAAAACGTACATGAATTATGTAAGCATAAATCACAGAATTATTATGATTATAGATAAATAGAAATTTGTCTTGCATCGTATATTATGACATGATTATAAGCTATGGGGACCTTATACATATTTGTGTAACACGTGTATCAAGATACTTCCCCACTATGATGAGTCAGAGGTGAACACTATGACTTATGTTCATCATAGTGTTATGTAGGCCCTTTTCCTCCATGATGTTCGACATAGAGCCTGTTAATGAGTGTTAGCCCAACGAGCCATGTCTAGGGGGTGTGCGAGCCCGTCTTGCCCGGACTGGTAAGTTGCCTAAGACTATGCTATCTTAAAATGATAGATCCCACAATGTTGCACGTGTTTGCATTTTTCAACTCCAATAGTGGGGTTACTTACTTAGTATTTCATAAAATACTCAAAGCCATGTGCTACTTTTACATTTTAAGTAAAGGTAAGTCATCTCTATACGAATGACAGCAGCGTGTGAGAAAGGCCATGAAACTAGTTGTTAAGGTAGTTGCATTTATGTTCATTTTATAACCCTTATGTTAGATCAGAGCATTGTGTTACTCTTATCTAAGTCTTTTGAAATCATTTATGAACTATTTTAAATGAAGTGCTTCGCACTTTACAGTCATGTCATGCATGTAGTAACTACTTTATTTTAGTAGAAAAACAGGGTCGTGCACTTTCCTTTTCAATGACTCAATTATAGGAACAACTTCATAGTTAAGCGTCCTTTGCTCGGAGTAATTCTATATTGGGTGACTTTCTAGGAATTCTTCTAGAATGCATGTGAGTAAGGACAAAGAATACTTGTAACACTCGTTTCTGAAGATAGTTTTCACTTTTAAAAGTAAAAAGCAAGTAACCTAACCCTATCACAGAGGATGCAACAACATGACCCACACTCATTCAAATATATAATTAGTGAATCAATACTTTATCAAAACTTATTCCAAACTTCATATAAATTATTGTTTTGGTACTATTTGGAATATTCTTAACTAAACGATTTCACTCGTCTTAATTTCACCTCTAAGTTCATCTCGGACTCATGTGAGAGCAATAGAGAAAAGAAAGAGAGTCCCGTCTAAACTTAACATATGAAATAGATAATGAAAGAACATGAAAAGTAACACATAATTGGTGGCTTGATTAAACCATTTATAAAAAGAAGTACGTATGCAATGAACACTATTCTTTCACTTCCTCATAGAACAAAGAAGAGAGAACATTCATAACATCATTAGGCAAAGCAATTCCAACTTCCACTCCTCCATTCCCACTTCTACTCTCCGTGATAGAAAAAGTCCCATTTGGGTCCATCGAAGCCATCTCCACTTTCTTGCTATTTCCCCACCCGAAGTCAATCTCATATACTCCAAACCTTGGCGATCCTCCCACTCCAATCATTTTAGATATGGGCATCTCTCTCCCCCATCGACCTAAAATTTCTTCCACCATTTCCACTACTTTATTCTCCTTCACACTATTCTCTATCTCCATCATTCTATCACTAATCTTGTTTGCAACCATTGCCATCCCATTTTCTTCCTCCAATTCCTTTGCTTCCAAAAACACTCCCAACGTACTCACACAATTACCAAAATAATTGAGACCCCCTAGAGCTCCCATACGAGGCCGCATATCCATAGCGAAGAACAAAGCAATCTTACTTTTCGGTTCAATTCGCTCCGCTTTGACGATGCACGTTGAGATAAGAGAAAATGCCAACATAAAAGTTGATAACCGACGAGGAGTGGATGAAGAAGTTGCTACCACTTTTGTCCTTAACTTCTCTATGTCGGTGCGTGTAAGCTCAAATGTGGCATACACCACATCGTCTGAGATGACCCTTTTTGGGGTAAGTCCAAGTATTTTGGGTTGACGAACAAACGCTCCATAATACTTAACGTATAATCTTTGCAACCCATTTGGATCCCTTGCGGCTGTTCGGTCAAAAAATGGTGTCAACTCCGGGGGCAGCGTGGGGAGATTATTATTAGTACAATTGAGTGTACTACAAATGGAAGCCCATGATTTCAAGAACATGGTGGATGTTTTGCCATCAACAACCACATGGTTGGTTACGATGCCAATGGAAAATCCACTTTTGGGGAATAGAGTGATTTGAAGAGACATGGGTGGAGCAATGGTGTCGGATGTTGGGAGTTGGGGTACGAGGAAATGGGATTCCTTTGCCTTCCGGACATGATTTGAAGAGAGATGGTGGAAATCAGCCTCTGTTTTAGCAATAGTGAGGGAAACAGAGTCGCCAGGGTTGTAAAGAATAAAGGGGTCTTGAGAGTGATGGGGCCAAACGAGGTTGCCAGCGAGAGGGAGGAAATGGGAGAGTGTGAGAGAGAGAGAGTGTTTGAGGGTTTGGAGAATTGAATCGAAGCGAGGCAGGTCATTGGCGGGCAAGGTGTAAAAGAGAATACGCTCGGTGGGTGGGGCTAGAAATTGGACAAGATCGAAGAAAGTGAGCGGGAGAGAGAAGTGAGTGGGCGGGGAGGGAGAGGGAGTGATATTGCAGACCTCCAAAACCTCCATTATTGCCTTTTGTTGCTCAATTTTGGGTTAAACAAGGTTGATATGAGGTTGCCTCTTTTGTACTCCAACTTTCTTAATTTTTGTTTTTTGTTTTTTTTTCCTCCGTAGTTAGAAAGTGAACATCAAACACGTCACATTGTTCCCTCTCATTTATTCAATCGAGATTTATATTTTTTAATCTTACAAAACGTGAAACATGTGGTCCTCTAGAGTGGTGCCCTAAAAAAGAAAAGAAGTATTTAAAATAAAGGCCATGTGGACCTCGTATGAAGTGGAAGTATGGTGCCCGCTAATCTGAGCATCATTCATGGATGATTATCAGATGAACTGTCCAATAAGACAGCGTACACTTCCCTAATCGGCCTATGCCTTGATTGAGAGTACTAGTATTAGAGTGGAAAAAGGGTAATAGAGACTATGATGACATCTTACCTATTGTAGATGGACCTTACGATGCGTGTATTTTTTCGTGCTTTGGTGTGCACTTTTTTCTACTTTATTTCTTCTACTTTATTTCTTCTACTTAAGACCGGTGCGTCGTTAGGTTAGCGTTCTAACCAATTGAGCTAATTAACTTGAATTGAAAAATTTGTTATCTTTGACTGAGCAATTCGCCTCGTGAGGAAATCCTTGACGAAGAAAAATTGCCGAAGAAATTGTTGGGGAGAAGAACAGAAAAGCTAAAGAAAATAACATAAAGAGAAAGACTACGGAAGCTGCTTTGTGATTTGTTGCTGACGGTGCTTCTGTTTCTCATTTAATTTGACTATTTAAAACAAAATACATTCTAAAGCTAAAAATACGCTCTTCCATTCTACCCGACTAAAGATGGCCCAAATGGCCAGCTAAAAATACGCTCTTCTATCCTACATGTAGCGTTAATTCAGATAACCTAAAAACAAAAATCAACTAATTAACTTTAAGGAAACTTGTGAATAACCTAAATAAGGAAAAACTAGAGCTTTTTATCTAACAAAGGATAGCTCACTCAACCATCACTTATAGAGCTCAAAAACTTGTTAGCCAGTCAAGAAGTCGTGGCTAAACAATTGGGAGGCATCATATTAAAGGGTGAAGATGAAGCACTCTAAACGAGTGAAAGACATGTTAAAATATCATCACTAGCCCAATATTGTCAAACCCAATAATTGTACGAGCTCATTGTATATTTATTTTAGTAGAGATTTTATCAGAGATACCTAGGTATTTTAGGAAGATGTAGATATTTTAGGAAATATTTAGATTTGTTAGATGAGGGTACAGTATACACCTCCACCCTACCTAGTTTTTTATCCCAAGAAATCCCAAGCAATACAAAGTAATAGTATTCTAACAAGTGTCTTGTAATCTCTTCTCGTTTGGTGTTAATAAAGAGTGTGAGCGTTTCCCACAGAGAGTTGTGTTCAACAATCTGGTATCAGAGCGAGGTTAGTGTAGGTTGTCTGATCTCTTGGAATTCTTAGTATGCTTTGTGGTTGCAGCGTTGTTTGACTTTCCACATAAAAAACGACTTTAGTGAGCGGGTTTCTTTGTGTTGTGAGTAGTCGGTGACTCTGCAAGTTTTGTGTCGAAGGCTTGTTTGGTACTACTAAGGTGCTGCTAACACCATGAGTGACTTCCAAATCATAGGAGGAATCAAGAAACTCAACAATAACAACTACACACGTGGGCAACATGCATGATGTCCTATTTACAAGGACAGGACCTTTGGGAGGTTGTTGGCGGGAGTGAAACTATGCCACTAAAGGATGATTCTAATGGTGCTTGCGCAAATGGAGAATCAAAATAGGCAAAACAATGTTTGCCCTGAAGATCACAAACGGAGAAGAGATGTTAGAACACATTTGGGATGACAAGACATCGAAAGAAGCATGAGACACGTTCGTAATGTTGTTCTCAATGAAGAACGATACGGGGCTACAACTTCTAGAGAACAAGCTATTATCAATTTCACAACGTGACATGAAAATTGTTCAGTACTTCCACAAAGTCAAGATGATTTGCCGAGAGATTACTAAACTAGAACCGAAGTCTGCAATTGGAGAAGATCGAATGAAGAGGATCATTATCCACGGATTGCGACCAGAATATAGAAGCTTCATTATTGCTGTACAAGAATGGCCCACTCAACCATCACTTATAGAGTTTGAAAACTTGTTAGCTAGCCAAGAAGCCATGACTAAACAAATGGGAGACATCACATTGAAGGGTGAAGAAGAAGCAGTCTACACAAGTGAAAGTCGGAGCAATAATAAGCCATCTACCAAACGTGTATATAAAAACGGTGACAAAAGAAGAAGCCATCAGGAACTGCACAACCTGAGAGAGCTTAGAAGAATGACAACAAGAGTTATCAAGGAAAAAGATTTGAAGGTAATTGCTACATTTGCAGGAAGAATGGCCACATGCCCAGAGATTGTTGGTCCAAGAAAAAATATGTTGAAAGCAACGTGGCATCCTCCAACATAGAGATTAAGGAGGAATGGGATGCAGAGGCAATTTGTGTCATAAAAGAAGATGAGTTAGCGCTCATGGCAATGATGAGAGAACATATTGATTACGAGGACGACTAGATCATTGATTCAGGATGCTCAAACCACATGATTGACGATCAAAGTGGTGCAATGGAAGAGGGGTGACCCTTAGAGAAGGAAGTATTATCAGGCTTGGACAACATTGAAGAAATTCTTCCACAGGAGACGAGGGAGCAAACTGAAGAAATTCTTCCACAGGAAACGGGGAAGAAAACTGAAGAAATTCTTTCACAGAAGATGGGAGAGCAAACTGTACACATTTGCTTAAGTGCTGATGTGCTTGAATTTCTAAGTGACACTGGTGTTGGTGAGCAAGAAGTGACTCAACTAAGAGAACATGGTGAAAAGGAAAAGGCACTTCAACGACTTAGACAGTCAGAAAGAATCCAGAAACCAAATCCAATATATGTCAATATAGCTATAATAGAAGACAAAATTAAAGAGCTAGAGACGTATGAAGAAACATCACAAAATATGGCTTGGCAACGGGCAATGGAGGAAGAAACTATAACTTTGGAGAAAAATCAAACTTGGGAACTAGTGCCAAGGTCAAGAGATGTTAAATCTATCTTTTGCAGGTAGATGTATAAAATAAAGTGTATACTGGATGGATTAATCGTGAGATACAAAGCTCTGACGGTAGATCCAAGGTTCTCTCAAGAATATGGATTACATTATGATGAAACGTTTAGTCCAATGGCGAAGATCACTATCGTACAAGTTCCTCCCGCACTTGTGGTAAATAAAGATTGGAAATTATGGCAGATGGATATGAAGAAAGCTTTCTTGCATGGAGAGTTGGACTGAGAGATCTATATGAACCAACCAAATGGATTTGAACATGAAGTTAGAGACATTAGTCAGTACAGGCAAAATCCAAAGAAGCTTTATTTGGATGTGGCTCGACGGACCTTGAGACATGTCAAAGGTACAATCAAATACAATTATTTGTATAAAAGAAGTAAAGACCACAAGCTAGCTAGATACCATGATGTTGACTATGCAGGATATCGCGGTACCCGAAGATCAAGTATTGGATATGTATTCAAGCTCAGTTCGAGAATAATTTCTTGGTGTAGCAAAAGACAACCAACAGTATCATTGTCAACTAGAAAAGCAGAGTATAGCAGCTGGAGCAACTCAGGAAAGTTTATGGCTGAAACTCTTGATGGAAGATTAACACCAGAAAATTAACTATCCAATACCACTTCATTGCAACAACTAATCTGCAATTCGCCTAGCAAAAAATTCGGTGTTTCATGTTAGAACAATTCGGTGTTTCTTCAATGTGGATATGTGGCCTCGTATGGGAGCTCTAGGGGGCTCAATTATTTTGGTAATGGTGTGAGTACGTTGGGAGTGTTTTTGGAAGCGAAGGAATTGGAGGAAGAAAATGGGATGAGAATGGTTACAAACAAGATTAGTGATAGAATAATGGAGATAGAGAAAAGTGTGAAGGAGAATAAAGTAGTGGAAATGGTGGAAGAAATTAGTGATAGATGGGGAAGAGAGATGCCCGTATCTAAAATAATTGGAATGGGAGGATCAACGAGGTTTGGAGTTTATGACATTGACTTCGGGTGGTGAAATAGTAAGAAAGTGGAAATGGTTTCGATAGACCCAAATGGAAGTTTTTCAATGACGAAGATAGAAGTGGGAGTGGAGGAGTGGAAGTTGGAATTGTTTTGCCTAAAGATGTTATGAATGTTTTCTCTTCTTTGTTCTACGAGGAAGTGAAAGAATAGTGTTCATTACATAGGTACTTCTTGTCTAAATGGTTTAATCAAGCCACCAATTATGTATTACTTTTCATGTTCTTTCATTATCTATTTGATATGTTAAAAGTTTAGATATGGACTCTTTTTCTTTTCTCTCTCTTACAAGAGTCCATGATGAACTTAGAGGTGAAATTAAGAAGAGTGAAATCATTTAGTTAAAAATATTCCAAATAGTACCAAAAGAATACTTTATATGAAGTTGGAATAAGCTTTGATAAACTATTAATTCTCTAATTATATATTTTAATGGGGGTTGGTCATGTTGCTGCATCTTCTATAATATGGTCAAGTTAATTACTTTTTACTTTTAAAAGTGAAGACTTTTTCTAGAAACTAACACCGGGTGTTTTTAGCATACTTTGTCCTTACTCACATGCATTCAAGAAGAATTCCTAGAAAGTCACCCAATATAGAATTACTTTAAGTAAAGCATGCTTAACTATGAAGTTGTTCTTATAATTGAGTCACTGAAAAGGAAAGTGCACTGTAACAACTCTACTTTTCTTCTAAGAGAAAGGAGCTACTACATGCATGGTGTCACAACCTAACTATGAAGAGTGTAGGTTGTGACCCTCACGTTGCGACAAAAGAAGCAGTGACCCTCAAGTGGCGCCTATTTTGCCACACGAGGGCCTAGACGAGTGCCATGATGTGATCAAGGAGGACGGTGCATCATCTAACAAACCACACAGAATGGGCATTAAAGACAAGTGGAGACATAAGCAAGATAGAGACATTGAATAGACAAGAGTGACAAAGATAGACTTGTTGAAGGGCCGGATAAGGTCCCAGACCTTAACCTCAAAAGTTAGGGTTCCAAAAGGAATTTGGGCATGTGGTTTTGGAGTTAAGTCCGTCCATATGAAATATGAATTCTTGCCAAATTTTGTGTCAATCAGACATAGACGCTCCATGCACTATATGACCGTTCACCAAAATCATGTCTATGCGTAAAAAATTGAAAATGGCTCAAAATGTACTATAGGGGAAGAATGGT